AAGTGTGGTTTTAGCACACCCTGACTTTACTCGGCCTCTGGTCCTGGCGATAGATGCCTCATTGGACGGACTCGGAGCTGTATTATCCCAAGTGCCTGCGGGTGAAGAGCGAGCTCGTCCTATCGCATTTGCAAGCAAGACTCTGAGCAAATCACAGAGGAACTATCCAGTTCATAAGCTCGAATTTCTGGCACTCAAATGGAGCGTGTGCGAGAAGTTTAGCCATTGGTTGAAAGGTCAAACATTCACCGTATGGACAGACAACAATCCGCTCACGTATGTCATGTCCAAGGCAAAACTCGCTGCATGTGAGCAACGTTGGGTGTCCAAACTGGCGGCTTACACCTTTGAACTGAAGCATATAGCAGGGAAGAAAAATGTGGTGGCGGATGCTCTGAGTAGAGACCCTTTCGTCAAGACTGTGAGCAGTAGGCTGATGAAAGAGCGATATCATGATTTACTTGTGGAGGCCGAAGTGGTTGATGGAGATGGAGTTCGAGATGCTTTTCGTCATGGAGCTCAGAACGTACAGATCTGTCTACAGTCCTGTCTTGACTTACCTTCTGACAGTGTCACAATCAAAGCTTGTTTAAGTTTACATGATCAGTGGGAAAAGACTTCTCAAGCAAGAGCTGTGCAGCTAATTCAGTCCTACCAAGATTTAATGCCCGCTGGTATTGACACTCTTCCTACGATCGCTGCGGATGAAATTCGTGAAATGCAAGAGGTTGATTCAGTCATCTCAAGAGTGATGTTCTTTGTGAATTTGAAGCGTCAACCATCGAGACGGGAGAAGGCCAACATGAGTTCCAAAACTCTAACTCTTTTCAGGCAGTGGGACAAATTAAAGCTCAAGGATGGAATACTGTACAGAGTCACACAAGATCCGCACAGTAAACAGAAGCGGTATCAGCTGGTCTTACCTTCTAGCCTCAAGGGGCAGGCTTTAAAGGGTGTACATGATCTTGCGGGTCATCAGGGGCAAGCAAGAACCATTCATTTAGCCCGTCAACGTTTCTTCTGGCCAGGAATGGGGAACGATGTGTGTGAATACATCAAGTGCTGTCAAAGATGCATTCTAGCCAAGGCTCCCGAACCATCTGCGCGGGCCCCTCTTGAAAGTATCAGGACCTCTATGCCCATGGAGTTGGTATGCCTGGATTTCTGGTCTGCAGAGGATGCGAAGAAACGATCGGTAGATGTACTCGTTGTGACAGACCATTTCACGAAGTTGGCTCATGCCTTCCCTTGTGCGAATCAGTGTGCAAAACAAGTGGCAAGGAAGCTGTGGGATCGTGTATTCTGTGTTTACGGATTCCCGAGTCGCATCCACACTGACCAGGGAGCCAACTTCGAGAGTGCTCTTCTAACAGAGTTATTGAAACTATCTGGAGTCGCAAAGTCTCACACCACCGCGTACCACCCCATGGGAAACGGAGGAGTAGAGAGGTTTAATCGGACTTTAGGAAGCATGCTCCGAACTCTGCCTCTGAAAGAGAAACACAAATGGCCAGAGCAAATACAAACACTGACTTTTGCTTACAATGCTACGGTACACGAGACAACTGGTTACGCTCCATTCCAGCTAATGTTTGGTCGTGTACCAAGACTGCCGGTGGATGTAATGTTCAGACAGGTGCTACATGACCCTGTGGTTGTTGATCATGGTACTTACCTGAAATCGTTGATGTCATACCTCCATGAGGCAGCTGAGATTGCGCAGCGACATTCTGAAGAAGAGCAGAGGAAACAAGCAAAAGGTTACAACAAGAAAGTCAGAGGGACGTGTCTGAATATCGGGGACCGTGTGCTGGTGGCAAATAAAGGAGAAAGAGGAAAGAGAAAACTAGCAGATAAGTGGGACCCTGTGGTGTACACTGTTGTGGATCGGAATATGCAAAAGCATATTTACAAGCTAGAGGATGAGAAAGGCAATGTGAAGGTAGTACACAGGAACTTGTTGTTGGACATTAGTTTCCTACCTGTTGACTCACCTGATAAAGAGGAAAGCATTCTGCTCTCTACGGAGGATTCAGAGTGTGAGTCGCGTAGCGTCAGAAGTGAGTCTTGTGCGGATGACTTCGAACCAACAGATCTGGAGGAGAGAACAAGGAGATGGGTGAACAGAGATTCTGAAGAGCCTGTAGTTCAAGACTCTGATGTCGAGGAGGCTGTGGGAACAGACCATTTCAGTTCGAAGGAAAAAGAGTCTAGTGACCAGTTACACACCGAAGAGGATGATAACAGAGACCTTCAGAGCAGAGCTGAATCCAGTCCATCATCTCTTGACGTTAACATTGACTGTGACACAGATACACATACACAAGCACAAGTTCTGATTGACAATCAAACTGACACTGATACCCAAGTTCCTGTTACTGACATTCAGGGTGTTAGGACACGTGCAGGTAGAGTTGTTAAGAAAGTGAACAGACTAATTGAGTCAATGGTTCAGAAACCCTTTTACCTCCAAGATGTGGGAAGTAGTCTGAAAAAGAGAACTGGGTCGTTTCTTTCTCTGTTCTAAAAAGTATTCTGTTTTGTTTTTGTATGAGGTGGAGAGACATTTTAACCCCTAATGTGTAACGAGGGTCAGGTCATATTATGGTGTAAAAGGCACCGTATTGTTCCAAGATTATCTTAGGCTTGATCACCCCGAGATTTTTCTTGACCTATTAATGGGTAACTCACAAGTTGAACTAATGAATGTTTCATTACAGACCTGTATCAGCTGTTATTTGATGTGGATCCAGTACGGATTTTTGTGAAATTTGGAAGGGGTGAATGTAACGAGTTATAATAAGTACTATTTAAGTTGAATGTATTGTTGTTGTTTCCCAAAAATCCTTATTTTATTACTGATTTATTTGTTACTGTTTTTTTGCTAAATATGCCGATTTTTATATTCACTCTTTAAGGGACTTTTATTTTGACATTTTTTCTTGCCGCCGCGTTGGTGCCATTTTAGAGTGTGTGCGCGCCTCTTGCCAGTTTGCATTGAACTCGCTGGGGAGAGGTAAGCATTTTGCAGAGCTCTTAAAAATATGAGCAAAATAAGTTTGCAAAGTGTGTAAATTGGTTTAATACCCGTTTGTAATCAATGCAGGAATTGCATGTCGTGTTTTGTTGTATGTTACATGCATGAGTGGATTGATAATCTGAAGATTAATCGCGTGGGCCGTATATTGCATGAGTTTTGCGTGTATTAGCACGGTTTTGAGTCAACTGATTGGTGTTGTATCATGCAGGTGAAAGTTATGAGATGCCCTCATGTGATTTTTGTCATCTTTGTGATGTTGAACTTCAGGTATTCCACTTTTATTGCATTTTACATTCTTGTATTGTGTTAATATGTTATGCTTTAATATTATTTGTATGTTCATTAACTTTAATTGTAACAAAAAGGAGTTGGCATTGAACTCGCTGGGGAGAGGTGAAAGTTATGAGATGCCCTCATGTGATTTTTGTCATCTTTGTGATGTTGAACTTCAGATGCTGCGAAATCCATGCTGAGCGTGATTGAATAAACCCCCATATTGGTGAACTACAATATGTGTCCTGGTCCTATAATACACAACGCAGAGAGACTGAGAAGCGTAACAGCGGTCAGCGAGCGGACCGGTTACACACATACAGTATTGCTTTCGGCGGCATATGCAATTTGCACAAAATTGGAGATCGTTGAAACTGGATGTTTGCCACAAAATCATTCGGCTCAAGCAGCAGAACTTGTAGCACTTGCGCGCGCGTGTGAATTGGCCAAGGGTCATTCGGTCACTATATATACCGACTCACGTTATGCATTCGGTGTATGTCATGACCATGGGGCAGTTTGGAAAAATCGGGGTTTTCTCACTGCTAACGGAAAACCGGTGGCACATTCAAAATTGATTGATAAATTACTCGAGAATTTGTTGATGCCAAAAGAAATTGCTATTTGCAAATGCGCAGCACATATGAGAACCGGGGATGAGGTATCAAAAGGTAACAATTTTGCTGACTCAGTAGCGAAAAACACAGCGCTGACAGGATGTAGACTGACTGACTTTATAGGTTTTGCATCCCTTTCTACCGACAGTATACAAGTACCACCGTCATTAACCGAAATTCAGAGACTGGGTACAAATTGGGAATTAAAGAAATGGTCAGAGAGGGGAGTTAAAAATGACGAAGGTGTCTGGAATGATACTAGAACAAACAAACCATTTCTACCTAAACAATTATATCCTAATTTTGCTAATTGGGCTCACGGATTGGACCACGCCTCGAAAGGGGCTATGAATGATCTGATAAGTACATCCTGGGTGGCTCCAGGATTTACATCAGTGGCAGAAAAATTCTGCCGAAGTTGCCATATTTGTGCAGCAAATAATGTGGGAAGACAGAGTAAAAAAGCTATTTACTCTGCCCACCCCACACCTGATCTTCCTTTTCAGCATCTACAGATGGACTTCATTGAATTGACGCCTTGTCAAGGGTATAAATATTGTCTTGTGATTGTTGACATGTTTTCAAAGTGGGTTGAGTGTTTCCCATGCAGGAAAGCTAATGCTGCAGCTGTAGCAAAAGCTCTGATAAGAGAGGTAATTCCCAGATGGGGGGTACCTGAAAAATTGTCTAGTGACAATGGAACTCATTTTGTAAATAAAGTAATAACTGAATTGGCAAAAGGACTTCAAATAAATTTGAGAAAACACTGCTCCTACAGGCCAGAAGCAGCAGGGGCAGTTGAGAGGTTGAACCAGACAATAAAAAACAAATTGTGTAAAGTTATGGCTGAGACTGAAATGACGTGGGTTCAGGCTCTGCCCATTGTTTTAATGGCCATAAGGGCCCGAAAAGGGACGAGGACAACCCTCAGCCCACATGAAATTCTTACAGGTCGGCCCATGCGAGTAGGAATCGAACCTCCTCCCCAGGAGGGTTTGGCGGGAGTAGATGAGCAAATGAGAAAATATATACTGTCACTAACCAGAACTATCAAAACAATTCATTCCCAGGTCAAAGCTGCTTTGCCGGTTCCAGGAACGGAGACACAGCACTGTTATGAGCCAGGACAGTGGGTCTGGATCAAGGATCACAGACGTAAGGCGTGGAACAACCCGATGTGGCTCGGTCCGTATGAGATTATTCTAACAACAAATACAGCAATCAAGGTTGCTGAGCGTGACGCCTGGGTTCACGTGTCACATTGTAAGCCCCACCAACCGCCATCAAGTGAAAAGTAAGGGAAAAAAGGACGTGCTGGTTAACGTACCTCCCTTGCCGCCGAGGGAAAGACCCTTTTACGGCTCGCAAAGAGTCATAAGGGTGAAGATGGAGCGTTTCAGACGTCTGTGGGGCCAACGGGACGACCAGTACAACTGGGAGCGAATGTGGTTAAACAAGGTGTTCAAGTACAGTATGTGTGTTGTTATATGCTCAAGTGTGTTGATGTTGATATTATTTCTGTTTCTCTTTGAATTTCCTCTAGGATGTGACCAAAGTAGGAAGAGAAGGGAAGCTTTGCCTGTTCATCGTGACTACTCATCTGACACTGACAAGAATCACTATGGGTTAAATTTGTTCTGGAAATATGCTAATTACACAGCTAAGAAACTCGCACCTAACAAAAATTGTTATGTCTGCGCCCATGCCTCCTTCTCTGCCGCTTATCCATATCCTCTGTTGCCAGAGCCAGTAGAGGGTCACCAATTGAAGTGTATCCTGTCTCAGATAGCTGGGCCGGGATCAGTATGTTCTCGGGAAATTTTCCGTAGAAGATTTCCTCCCGATTGTTATAACGTAACTGTCCCAGTACCAATTCTTTCTCTCTCTACCGAAGGGAAGAAAAGGATCTGGCCTTTGCCAGACCAGAAATTTAAAGAGTGTTACAGGTCAAGAAAGGGAAAAAAATTTATGGGGATCCTTAAGGGATGTGAGACAATCCATAATGTTAGCTGTTATGATCCCACAGGTATGAGTGAGTATCTTGCGGGAGGAGCTTACCTCATCCTGGACCACTACTGGTTGTGAGGTCATACTGCATATCCCAGTCTGCCTGTATCATGGCATGGTCTCTGTGCTTTAGTTCAGCTAAGAGCAAGAATTAGAGTTGGCTATGTGGGGAAAGAAAACAAAAGAGGAACCAGAGCTTTAAAAATGAGGGATGACACTTGGTGGAGACATGACATTTCTGACATCCTTGAAGAGAGCCGTGTAATTTCCAGAACATCTCAGTTTTGGAAGGCTTTCCTCATCCATAATGCTGTAACTGACTCAATGAACTGGATAAATAGAATCCATTATGAATTATTCCGATTTGCAAATGACACCCAACTAGTCTTAGAACTCTTGAAAAATGAAGTGGGGGCCCTCAGGCAAATGACTCTGGAGAACAGAATGGTATTAAATAGAATTCTTGCGGAGGAAGGGGGAGTTTGTGTTAAACTTGGAAAAGAATGTTGTACTTTCATTCCAGCTTATGATGAGGATGGGAGTTCCATCTCAAAAGTACTGGACGATATGAGAAAGGTGCGGGACGATCTGTGGCAGGATGAACAGGCAAAGAACAAACCAGTAGAATGGGACTTAGATTGGATCACTGATGCCTTCCGCAATGCTTTTGGTAATATTTTCGGACCGCTATTAAAGCTTTTGTTGCCAGTAATTGCTGCCTTGCTCATGGCAGCAATTATTATTGGATGTTTGATTAAATGTATCCGAGCTTGTCTAGAAAGGTTAATCAGAAGCATTGTTTGGGGAGGCATTGGGAGGAGAGATAATGAAGAGGAGGGAGAAAGAGAAGGTGGATATGAGCGGTTGCACCCGACTAATCGGGGTTCATTGCCCCTGATAAATGTAAGACGGTTGAGCCCGATTGAGCAAGCAGAGGCCCAATACCGTAATTTTGCTATTATACGGGGTCTGCCAAATGCAGATGCTCAAAATCAGCCAGTCAGGAATCAATAATTTGATACTTTCTCAGAATTAAGATGATAATCTGGCAGTTTTAAAATTTTCTTTGTGTGGTCGTGACAATTTAAGACCAGAGAGGGGAATGTTATAGAAATTTTAACATTCAAAGTTTAATTATGTTAACTAACCCTAAAGTTCTGATTTTATATTTCTAACATGTGATAAAACCTATCATACTTCCACTTCTTTGTCTCAAGGTGACTAAACTTTCTAATCTAGATCTAACAATAAAAAAAGATGAATCTTAGTTCCTTCTATTTAGGATGTAGCCATGAGACGAACTTTCAATATGAACTAACCATTAAACTACTTTTTGACTTAATGTAACCTTGTTCAAGATAGCTTTGACGATGAATTGAACGTTCTGTTCTTTTACTTTATTAGGACGTGATTTACTGAAATGTTAACCCCTTACTAACTGTTTTTGAGGATATAGGATATTTTGCTGACGTCACTAACAAAGGATGATGAGAGGATGGGGCTTGCTTTAAACAGTGTAACCAATCATATTGATAGAGTGTGACATTTACAGTCATAATGAAATAATGAGTCATGATGATTATTTTTTTAATGTGTCTGGCATTATCATATAAAACGTGTACTTCTTCTTTGAAGTTGAGATTCTCTGAGAATTGCTCGAGAACTCCCAGCTGAAATAAAGAGCATCTGAAGGACATTTGCTGAAGTCTGTCTGTCATTTATGCTGCGCAGCAAAAACAAGTAAGTTAGAATTATTAGCACCTGGCAGGACGTCGACGGTAGACGCGTCAGGGTTATAGGATTAGTACCCAGCAGGTCGTCGACTGTAGACGCGCTAGGGTAATAGGATTAGTACCCAGCAGGTCGTCGACTGTAGACGCGCTGAGGTATAGGGTAGGTTTATGGCTTAGCAGGACGTCGACTGTAGACGCGCTGAGGTAAAAGTATAATACTTGGTCAACTAGAGTGAGTATTATTGTAGAGTAGTCAGGTTCAGGAAAGAAAAATCCATAACACTACTTAAGCATTTACTACGTTACAATGATACATGTATTTACAAACATTAAACACAAACTAAGACGACGCAGAGCGTATAGACAATGCATACGCGTAAGTTGAATGAGTTGGAGAGAGAGAGAGAGAGAGTGAGATAGAGTGAGTTGTAGAGAAAGTGAGAGAGAGTGGGTTACGTTCGCCACAACAGTCAGTTAACCTTTCTGAACACCACGAAAACACTTTTTAATGCTTCTTAGAAGCTCTAAAAGAAGGTATACTTGCAGAGCATATTTGGTCTGTGTGAGTCGCGGGCTCCTTGCTCGGCCCGTTCGGGCCGCGTGTCGACTGGGGGTGCTGTCCTGCATGCGCACGTCACGTGGAGCGCGGCCGCAGCGTGTTTGCACCACCGCGTGCATGGTCGGTTGCGTGGCTCTTTTGTTCCGTGGGGAGTCACGTGGCGTTCGTTGGCATTTAGCGCGAGTGTTTGAAAGGCTTAAAGTCTTTGAGGTGACGTTACCCGAGGAAATAGTTCGGCAAAGTCCATTTCCTTTCCTGGAAGACGAACTGGGTAGTCCATTTGAGTAAAAGACGAAACTTTAGACGAACAAAAGGAAAGATCCATGGTTGGATCAGAGTCCCGTGAGGTTTACATGCTGAAACAGCGCTGGAAAGTTCAGAAGCGCGTGGGCGGAGCCGCGCTCCCACATTTATCACCTTGGAGAAGTCCATCCCCTTCCTGTTGGCTGGAGCCAATCGGAGAGTGGATGTTGCACGCGGGAAGTCTTCTTTTATGGTCCTTTGTTCCTCAGCGCACGCTTCTCGTGGAAGGGGGTGTGTTCAATGAGGATTTTATAGTAAAACAATTTTGAACTTCATTGGCAGTAAAACAATCAAAAATACCCTTTACTTTACATCTCCATGCATATTCGAGTGTTTCATTCAATAAGCATTCTAGAGATATCAAGGAACATTATGTTATATCAAAGGAATATACACTTATGTTTAAAATGCATGACGAAGGTATTTTTAATTTCTATTTACGCTGTGACCAAACTAAGTTATTTCACTGTGACATGGGGAAGACACATATACATAAAAACCTTTGAAAACATTTTGTTGAATGTTTTTAAACACCAAAAGTCCTTCTCTTTGTTCAAAAACATTCCACACATTCCGATGTGTGGGGGAAGGGAAAGGCTTGTGTGTGCGTGTGTGTGTTTCAGAAAACCCCTGGGGGTGGATTTGATTCGCCTGGCCAAAATCCTTACACAGGAAATTAATCCTATAAGAGCGGACTACGGCATGCCTGCCCAACGATGATCCTTGAGGGACATTCATCATGTTTGTAGAGTGGGTTTCTGGGAATTTGCGAATCTCTGTTCTCTGTGGTGTGACCCGTTGCAACATATTTGACTTTGACATTTTGAAATTGTGCTGTATTATAAAACGTCTGGGAACACCTGTTTTAAATTATATTGTTATGATTACTGTCTTGTGTTCCCCTGGTCTTGAGTTGACTTTTTGTAGTCCTTTGTAGTTTTTCATGTTGATTAGTTGTTCATTCCTGATTATTCCCGGATGTGTCTTGTTTGTCAATCACCTCTTGTAAATAACTACCCCAGTTTTTGTCATGTTCTTTGTCTGGTATTGTCCTTCTATGGATGTTTACTTGTGTGCTTATTGTCAGTTTGGTTTGCTTTCCTTGCCCATGTCTGGTTTGCCTTCCTTGCCCATTAGTTTTGCTTGAATTTACTTTTATCATGATCGTTTGGTGTTCATGGTCTCATTCCATGTTTCCTAGTTTCTCTTTTGGATTATTATTTAGCTGCATGTGGATCCCCTTTTCTGCCCGTCTGCCTGAATGCCTATCCATAACAGATCGACTGACCACACCAGCAGTCAGTTCATAAATGGCCCCCATGGCAGTGTCAGGGTGGGCAGCAAGTTCAGGGACGACCTCTGTAATCGTGTCAGGGCAGACAGGAATGTCTGAATGTTGCACTGGAAGCTACCAAGGTAGTCCCTAGGTGTCTGAAACTGTCTTCCAGTGTGTGGGAACCACCGGTGATGTCATTGCGAGCAGCTGGCAGACCAACAAAATGGTCCCCAAGTCTAGCACAGGTAGTCCCAAGGTCGGGAGTCTCTGAGGTTCTTCCTCCATCAGATGCACTACCTGAAATGGCAGTTCCTATCTTGTGTATTTGGGCGGCACATGCTTCTCCAAGTCCTTCCTAGGTAGCGGCGTTTGCTACAAAACCTCCAGGTGTGGCGGCGTACACTTGTGAACTCTCTTTTTGCCCTGACATGACCACAGAGGTTGTTCCTAAACTCCCTTCTCTGACACAGACACAACCATGGTTGTACATGAACTTCCTGTCTGCCCAGATACGACAACAGAAGTCATCCCTGAACTTCCTGTCTGCCCTGACACGATTACAGAGGTCGTCCCTGAACTCGCTGCCCACCCTGACACTGCCATGGGGGCCATTTATGAACTCTCTGCTTGCACTGTATGCCCAAGGAGACCCTCTCTGAACCCATATTCACTGTGATGGCCACGGAGGACATTTCTAACTTCTCTGTTACAGTCCCTTCTGCTCCACCTTGGTGGGCTTGTTCTCCATTGTGGTTGCTTCAAGCCCAGTCTGATCTGCCATGGTGGTTATCAGTCCTGTAAATTCTGCTGTGGTGGTCTTCTGCTCTGTCATGAGGGTCTTCAGTCCCATGTGCTTGGCTGTGGTGGTCATCTGCTCATCCGTAAAGGACTTCAGCTCTGCTAAAATGTGCTTCAGTCCTGTTAGCTCCACCCTGGCCACCTACCCTCCTTGCTCTGCCCTGGCTCTCTGATACTTCTCAGTCTCCACTTCCACCACACTGGCCTGGCCCTCCATCCCTCCCCCAAGGGTCTCCTGTCTTGTGTTCCTCTGGTCTTGTGTGGACTTCACAAAACAACATTTCCTGTTTTGTGCTATGTTTTGTAGTCCTTTATAGTTTTTCTTGTTGATTAGTTCTCAGGTGTGTATTGCTTGCCAATTACCCATTGTCTATGATAGTGATGTTACGTATGACACTGAAGCTTCGATGCGCGTATCACATATGCGACACAATTTCTAGTGAAGCCCCGTATCGGGGTGTGTATTGGTTTTCCCAGAGTCACGTGATGGATGACAAATGAAGCCTCACTTTCTGTCAGATCACGTGCAAGTTTCGCTTTGGGTGTCAGAAGGCTCGAACTTTAACGAGTCAATGCTGCCTCGGTCTGGTTGATGGGTGTTTGAGGAGAGTGCTGTACTTTGAAAGTTAATAAATATAATTCATTAAATAACCAAAATTTATTTTTCACCACTTTGTTATTTGGTTTTTTGGTGTTGGTATTTGTGTTTAGGGTGGGATTAGGAACGAGGGGATAGGGTGTTGGTGTTCGGAGTTTGTATTAGAGCAATGGCAACAGCCAAAAAAGGGTTATAGAGTTGTGTGTGTGTGTACAGAGAGAGAGAGAGAGAGAGAGAGAGAGAGAGAGAGAGAGAGAGAGAGAGAGAGAGAGAAAGTAGGCCTACATTAAATCTTATTGAATAATATAAGCTTATATTATATTTTATTGTCACACTTTAATGGGAAAATGAATTTATCAAATGAACAAATCAAACACAAACATGTAATGTTTTTATTTGTACACATAACATTGAAACTCTGTAGTGTGTGTTGTGGTTGCTTCATCTGCCAGAGCTTCTGGCTGCTTTATTTTAAATAAGCACCAGATGGCGCTGTTCTCGACACTCTCGAAGCTTTGAATCTTTTCCCGGAACAGTCAGGGGAAAGCCTCATTGCTTCATGAAGCTTCATTTCCCCATCCCTAGTCTATGACTACCCCAGTGTTTCTCATGTTTTTTTGTCTGGTGTTGTCCTTTTATGGATGTTGCATGTTCTTGTTGTCAGTTTTGTTTGCCTTCCCTGAACTGTGTCTAGATTTATCAGTTTAGCTTGGATTTACTTTTTTATTATGTTTTTTGAATAAATGTTTGCTGTTTATGCTCTCATTCCGTGTTTCCTAGTTTCTATTTTTGATTATTATTTAACCCTAAATGCATGTGGATTCTTTTCTCTGGCTGTTTCCTTACCTGCCTGAATGCCCATACACAACAAAAAATGTATTGAACAAAACTTACATTCTGAGAAGCTTGCTTCCATAGTGAGTACACAGGATGGTTCAAACAGGATGACCATTCTGGACAGGACTGGTAGTCAAAACCTTAGAGCAGAGAAAAAGGACTTTAGGGACCGTTCGGTATTTATGGAAAGGTCCACCGGAGGAAAATAGGGGAGGGTCATGTCTTTTTATTCTTAGATGAGGGGAGGGTCATCCAACTTTCTTAGTCTATAGGGGAGGGTCACCCAACTTTTGTATTCATCAAAACAGGAACATTTCAAAGTGGCTTGTTTGGTGCATATTTTTTCCATGTAGCTCTCTCGGTCTCGGCCCCGGGGCCATCAGTGTCAGATGGGTCTGACCCAACAAAAATCAATCCGAGTGGCGCTGTTTGACAGTCCGCGCGTGCTTCAGTATGCGCTCAGAAAAAGTGCATTAGAACAGAACGGCAAAGAAAATGTTTACCCAGCAAAGCTTTAAAGCACGAGCAAATAATGAACTTTTGTTATTGTGAATAAGTGCATTGTCCTGTGTGTGTAACTCTACCGCTGCATTAACATGTGATGTGAATATACGTCGAGTGTATTGGGACTGAGGCGCCCGAACTACAGCTGATATAATGTGCGCTGTAACACGATACGACCATATTTTAGTTTCCATCCTTATTGCGTTTCCAGAAAAGTGTTAGTGAGTAAATCTGAGCTGTAGGCTGGAATTCGTGAGGTGTGTGCGCTGTGCGGTTGAATGAGCCGGTTTGTCGATCTATCTGAATTTTGATCAATCAGGAGCTGATGAAATCCACAGAAGAAAGACGAAAATGGCCGTGAATTTGGACTATTGAAAGGGAAGCATACTACTTATGATTTTAGTATCATAATGATTAATAAATGCATGCACAATTATCAGTGAACTTGATAAATGTTGCAGATATGTTACATAAGAATGTCGTTACATAAACGCGTCACCATGCACTGCATCAGCACCGAAAACATGATTTAAAAAAAAAAAAATTCAAATCAACTCGTGATACGAACCAAATTGTAGGTTAGGTCTATCGTTACAGCCCTAGTAAGATGATAAAGCAGGAGTTTAGTCGTTCAAATCTCCTCCGGTGGCCCCTTAAATAAATAACGAACAGTCCCTTAGTAGTCTTTAAATGATTTACAATTACAAAAACATGAATATAAAATGTGTTCAGTGTAATGGAGGCCAGCTAGTAGTTGCCGTGCAAGTAAACCACACTCCTCTGATCTCAATAAGCGCTCTAGCGACAAATGCTAGAGGCTGCAGTCTTTAGCATCCTTGTTAGAGCGCCCGACTCTCATGCCGGAGACCTGGGTTCGAGGCCCACTCGGAGCGGGACGAGTGGGACCCGGGTGTAGGGGCTACATCAGCATAATCTGTTCTCTGTCCATGTAACATCAGTAATTGTACTATCTTTTGATTGTACCTCTGTCTCTCTCCTGCTGTCCACACCAGATCAGATCGTTGAACATGAATCCCACCAGTGTGTCTTCTAATGTCCAGAAGGGTCCTGTGATGGCTACATAGCTGTGCATGAGGTCTCTCGTCTTACTCCAGAAGAGCAACTTTAAAGATAAATCATGTCAATTAATCAGTCTTTGTAAATATTTTGATATGGGTAACAGCCTACCATAATTCAAAATACTTTAGACATTCTACTACCTGTAATTAACTTTGCAACTACAGTAATTGTAATTAATCTCAACTACCAGTCATTGGAGTATTACTGTATTAGTAGACTGCCTGTCTAATTTTTGGTAACAGCAAAGAACGTATATTGACAAGAAGTGAAAGCCAATAGAACGTTCCATTGCAACACCAGCGCCCAGCAGCACCCCTACACTTCCGCCATTTCGGGGTGAAAGCGACTCGGTAGTCATATAATATATATTTAGTCCAGTGCAGAGATCATTTTTAGGTTGAAATAATTAGGCTAGGTGATTATTTAACTCACAACAGTTAACTTTATAGCAGTTAAAAGAAGTTGCTACTTAACTGGGCTTTTACCCCCACATAACTTGAGACAGGGAAGTTCAAGGATTTAATTCATTATATTACTCTCCAAATTAAGTGTAAGGCAAGAATAAAGTGATATCAGTTCATAAAGTTATAATAACAGTAGACCGTTTCCCGGGAGGTACACATAACGTTAATTACAAAAATAAGTTATCAATGAAATAAATTAATTCAGCAAATAAATGTTGTACTAAAATGTAAATGTTTGACAATAAATATATAACAGCAATAGAATAGCAATAGAATTTTTTTTTTTTGCAGTACAACTTAGCCTATCTTATATTAATGACCGTTAAAGCAAGACTATGTAAACAAACAAAAAAATACAGCCAATGTCCAAAGTCACTGTGGCATTATAGGATAACAGACACAGCGCATCAATGATCATCATGTTTGTAGCATGATCCAGGGGATTAAAACGTCCAAAATATATTTCAGTCCTAGTGGAGTTGGTAACTAATAATAGTAGTAAAAGTGTAAAGTTGCATACAATGGAAATACTCACTAATGCAAGAAAAAACTACCTCAAAAACTGTTATCTGTGCTGTTGTCCAGTAACTCCAGTTGGAATTTTCACCCCGAGATGGCTGCCGCGCTACCGAAGCGCCATCTAGTGGCTGTTACCAAAAAAGCATCAGAGTTTCGCCTCTTGTTCTTCTATTCTCTTTGGTAACAGTTTATTTCGATGGTTCCCCAGAATTATACTATGGGCTATGGACCATAACCCTTAAAGAGGCAAGAGTGGAAAATGCTAAGCAAAAAATTTCATTTAATTTTTTATATAATCTGGACTTAAAGGAGTAGTTCACTTTTGACAAAACTTTTGCTGATAATTTACTCACCCCCATGTCATCCAAGATGTCCCTGTAATTCTTTCTCAGAATTACAAACAGCAAACAGTCGAAAACAAATTAAGGTTTTTGATGAAAACATTCCAGCATTTTCTCCATATAATCTCCATTCCAGCATTCTCTGGGAACCAAACGGTTCAAAGTCCAAAAGACACTTTCAGCACAAACAGCAAACTGTTCAAAGGGCTTTAAACGATTCCAGATGATGAATAAGGGTCTTATCATGCGAAACGATCGCACATTTAAAGGGACATATCATGCAAAATCCACTTTTTTAGCCCTTAAAAGCATGATATGTACCTTTTAATAAATAAATAACAAAGTTTAAGTTTTATAAGCTCAAATGCTCGCCTTGCTCTGTTCTGTGACACACATTTGTGACTCTACTGTTCGAACTCGTTCATCAAAATGAACAAATCTTTTTCCGAGTCATTTGGTTCATTCAACGAATGAAACGAACGAATTGACTCGGAAAAATATTCGCTAAACAACAAAAAGAACAACATATTACTTATTTTTTTTCCTTCAGAACCTAAAGACAATGTTCACAATTAATGTTAGAAGCATTCTTTTTTTTTTTTAAGAAGAAAAGTATGTTTAATATATATTTACTTATCTAAATATCTGCACCACTGGCAGCCACGCTGGATTTAGGTCAGGCTGATTAATTGATCACAAAACAATTTAAGCAAATCATGTGACCAGCATACTCAAGACAGATCAAGCTGTCATAAGTGATAAAATATCTGATGAAAAAAATCTTTCTTATGCCCCCAAAAATACAATAAAACGATGCATCTCGTTAGACACGTCGCCTGTTTTAGGGATAAGAAGCAAGTTCCTGTACTTGCTCTGCAGGAGCAGCTGCAATAATCAACAGCAGCAGCAATTCAGCAGCAGTGTATCTATTGGGCCACTTCAGGGATCTACACTACAGCATAGTCTATTTCACCAAGACTAAACACATTAACATTGTCATATCTATTACCATCCTAAAAAAATATCGTCATGACAGAAATTAGATTATTTAGATCACACCACTCTAAAAACCTTGATACCTTTGAGAAGTAAACTGACATATCAGTATTCTCAAACAGAAGACTATCGCTCCCAGATAGCAAACCGACATTGAATCAACGTGGAAATATGACATCGAAACAACGGTGATCTGACATTGTTTTGCTCATCGAATTAACGTTGAACCAACGTCAGATGCGTCATTCTTTCAAAACTTACGGAAAATCAACTTGAAATCAACGCGTTGTTTCAACGTTATGAAAGCAAACCAATTTTCGAATTCATTTAGCTTGAAGAATGCCGCGTCTGACGTTGGTTTAACGTTAATTCGATGAGCAAATCAACGTTGTTTCAATGTCATGAGAGACGTCATTTCCACGTTGATTCAATGTCAGTTTGCTGTCTGGGCTGTGTCATCCAAGAATCTCTCTAAAAAATATATTATAATCACAACTTGAACACTCGTTGGTATACAGTGTAAAAAGGATAAAAGAACTAACACATCCCCACATAGCAAGCAGTCTAGGCTCAATGTGTCCTCAGGCTGGCACTGTTGGCCTCCTTTCTGCAATGGCATGACGATGCACAGCAATGGCATCATGTCAACCAGAGCTGGGCCATGTGTGGCAATGGCGGCAAAACACATATGGGCTGAATGTTGGTGAGAGGAGTATGGCCCAGATCAGTCCATTGATTATCTGTCCCAAATCAGAAATTGTGAGCCATTTAAATGCACTTTCCCACATAGGAAATTTAATCTGGCCCAGCTCTGTTCCAAAAAAAAAAAAAAAACATTTTCCTCAGTCCACAAGAATGATGGCCCTAGTTGTCACAGTCCTCCGTCTGCACCAGTCTGTCTTGTCATCAGCACTACACTTCCCAGGATCCTCTTGTCTCCACTCCTGAACTCACTCCCTCATCAGCCACCTGTTCCTCGTCTTTATCATCTGTGTCACCTGTTCTCACCTCTGATTCCTGCTTGTATTTAGTTCTCCCTCATTCAGTCAGTCTTTGTCGGTCAATGTTGAAAGTCAAATGTGAGCTGTGTTGCATCCCGTGTTCCTGTCTTCCGGCCTGTTTATTATATTAAAAGCTATCTTTATTGTGACTTTGGTCTCCTCCGGTTCCTCAGCCTGCACCACACCCTAGTGGCCCAGATCTGAATTTAAAACTAGGACCACAAACGGGTTAAAATGGCCTGATTCCAGCCAATTAATAACCTGTAACTGGGACTGCACTGGGCCTGTATTGATACAGATTCTCCTGAAGATTTAGATTATAGCAGAAGAATTTAATACTTTAATGATAGGCAGCCAATGCAGTGTTGACAGAACCGGGCTAATATATGGTCATACTTCCTGGTTCTGGTTAAAACAGCGCCCACAGTGTCTGATTTCAGAAATCTTTTAAAAACCTACTTGTACTCTTGTGTGTTCAGTGTCTTGTGAATTTTTTTTTAATCTTCATATGGATTTAAATAGCTATACTTTGTACAGCACGTTGGTCAACCAAGGTTGTTTTAAATGTGTTTTATAAATACAATAAACCTGAAACTTGAACTCGAGCTGCTGCGTTTTGTACTAGCTTTAGTTTGTTTATTCAGCGTGCAGGGCAACCACCCAGTAGAGCATTACCCTAATCGGTAACACTTTATTCGAAGGGGTGTGCATAACACTGACATGACACTGTCATAAACATGACATAACACCTGTCATGAACATGAAGGAGTCTTTATGAATGTTTATGACTGTTGTCATTAAGTGTCATTCGGTAAATTGACATTGTTTAAAATGTCTTTATTATGACAACTTGACATTAACAAAGACAAAAATGTCTTTGTTATAACAACTTGACATTAACCAAGACAAAAATGTCTTGATTATGACAACTTGACATTAATAAAGACAGAAATGTCTTTGTTATGACAACTTGAAATTAACCATGAAATCATAACTACTCCAATGTGTTCCACTTTACTTGAGGTAAGGGGAAATGAAAGCTTTAGCATAAGTTCTGCCAGGAAGACTTAATTACCGCGTCATGTGTTACCTTCAGGTTATCCAATCATGTTCTTATTCTTGTGGTATAAAAGATCGGTACTTACACATGTTTGAGTTCGCAGATGCCGACGCAACAACAAGTAGATGCTGTCGCATTTATTCATGCTCTCGATCAGTCGCCAGGCAACATGTTTCAGGATATTTTGCTTACAATTTGCGAGATCCGACGATGTCCCGCCCTATTTCCTACCGCACGTCGAGGTTCCTGCGCTCAGTCTTCGCATCTTCCCGTAGACACAGCGTCCTCGGATTTTGATCAGTTTTGATCAGTTAAGGCCGAGAAGTTCTGGCTGTCTTTAGGCTAGAGCACTCCAGAACCACGCTGTCTGCACAGGTGCCATTATTATCCCGCAAATCACAGACCCACCGACATGAATCAACAACTCTGCAAATCACGAGACGATCTAGCTCTCACCGGTTCAAGTTCAAACTCCCCTCCAAGGCTTTCAATTCGTTTTGGTAGGCACAGCACCTCCACCTGCACTGTTAATGTGTCCTCTACATGATTAAACTTCATTCAGGTAAGTATTTCTCCATGGCTTCCTACACGTCCGAGCAGAAATCATGGTTAAAATTGGCGTCCACGATGACGTGGCGCTATCTGATCATTACGGCTGATCT